ACGGTCCGATGTTTGAATCATCGGACGGCATTCTATTTTTTTTTTTTGGTGAACCATGCGTTCCGATGTTTGAAACATCGGACCACATTATGGTGATAGTGAACTAACTAGTCTGATGTTAGAATCATCAGACCACATTCTGTTGATTTTTTTTTTCTGAACCATGTGGTCCAATGTATGAAACATCAGACTTCTTTTGTATTGATTTTTTTTGGTGAACCATGCGGTTCCATGTTTGAAACGTCAAACCGTTTTTTGTTGATTTTGTTTGAAGTGAACTAAACGGTCCGATGTTAAAACCATCAGACCGCATGTTGTTGATTTTTTTTGGTGAACCAAACAATCGGATGTTTTCAACATATAAGTCTTAGAAGAAGTTTAGCGTTGCAGAGCAAGGCATGACTTCACCCTGAATACAATGAAAACTCATGAATGCATCCCGATAGTTTCACAAATGCAAACAAACTCATCGGAGCTCATCTGTTTCTAAACAATGTTCCATTAACTAAAAGGATTTAATACATCAAACTGCATGAATGCAGATATGCATAGGCCCAAAAGCAAACACAAACAAATATTTCCTAGTTCTCAACATGCACCTATTCCAGGACCATTGCCTGGAGATAACAATTAGAATTTACCCAAAAGTCATTGTAGCCTTATCAAATGAATCCAATCCCACATAAAACAATCATCCAATGCCACATAAAACCATATATACAGCATATGATTAGTGACCAAATAAATTAGTAGAGAGAAATACATATGTCTCTTTATGGGGAGAGAGAGAGGGGTTTACAGAGGTAAAATGAGGGAAAGAAAAAGAAATTTACAGAGAGAGAGAGGGGGAAGGAAATTTATAGAGAGAGAGAGCGAGAGGGAAAAGAAATTTACAGAGAGAGGGAGGATTGGGGCAGGAAATTCACAGAGAGAGAGAGCGAGAGGGGCAGGAAAATTACACCAAGAGAGAGTGAGAGCTAGAGGGAAAGGGCATTTAGAGAGAAAAAAGTTGGGCAAATTATGGGGGTTTTGGGCTAAAGAGCGAACGGAAGATAAACTTGAAAAAAAAATAGGGGATTCATCTTTTCAAATAATAACGACCTATTTTTAGGTCATTCCGTTATAATAGGACTAAAAGCCGGTACATAAATTTCCCAAAATAGAATCATCTTATAAATTCCCAACAAACTAAACAGAAAGGATTTAGATGTGCCCTAAGTATTTGTTAACCTACAAAGTGATATACACATAGAAAACAAGCTTAATCCCCGAATCAGTTTTCCTTGTGCGAAACAAGGTCGTACTGCATTATTGCTTTAAACCCTCTGGAACGCAAACATGTGACAAGCAGTCTCTCTTGTAGGGGCTATTTCAAATATAGGTAAGTGTCCAATAAGTCAAAGGCTAGGCACAATATCAAATATAGGTGGTTGTCACATTTTGGCTCTGTTTTAATAAATATCAGTGCCTACTTTTCTTCGTACTTGTGTCTTTGCTCTATCTATGCCAGAAGGTTCTAATTTTACCAACTTCTTTTCTTTTTGTGTCTAATGAATAATAAAACTCCAACTAAGTGGAACCTCACACTAAGAAATTGATGCTTAGAGGATCTCTCTCTCATTTATCAAGACAACAGTATGTCTACCAATATGAATCAAGTGAAAAAAATTTCTCAACAATGTCATTTAGATTGCTCTTCAATAATGTCAAGGTGCATGCCAGGAATGCTGTTGGGCCCTTGTGCTCTTCCACTTTATCCGATATTGACATCACCAATGACGTACATTGGCTTTGCCAAGTTATCCACACCCACATGTTATGTGACTTTTACTGAAATTTCCTGGTCACAAAGGAACACGTGCACTGAGATAGTGCCCAAACAATACAGCGATGGTGTAGGTTTTATGAAACAACGTATCCTTATATCACCATGGATGCATGCACGTCAGTTAATGCACAAATTGTCTAGTTCCTCTTAACGAACCCACCCTTCACAGATGCATGCATGAAAGCTTTTGACATAGGACCCGGTTTCTATGCAGCCAAGCCCGCATATGTAGAAATGCGGGGCTATTAATAAATCTATTTTTAAGATAGATTTTTGGGCTTAATTTTTAAGTAAATGTAATCTCTAACATTGAGGTCGTGAATATGAAAAAATAAATAAAATTTAAAAACTAAAACTAATAATTCTAGTAAGAAAACATTTGAACTGTTAGTTTCTGTTGTTTTTAAATGGAACACCTACTTGAATCCATATTTAAGATGGATGCTTTACACTTTGTTTTTTACCTATAGTGCATGTGGGTATTATCCATATTAAATGTGGGTTTTATCTTAATATGGAATGGCCAACTCAATGCGCAGAGAAACTATTTGAGTCTAGAGCAACACATTCGTAAGGTAGGGAAATTTGGTTGTGATAATTGCCCAGGAAAAAGAAGAGCGATTTATGTATGGATCTTAAAAAAATTATTTACATACGAAATGTTTCATTTATATTTATAGGTGAAAATTACAAAGAATATGTCAACCTATGAATTTTTATTTTTTCCAGAATTATCTTTTGGTCCGAGAATCCTCGGACCAAATTTCAAGTTTGTTTTTTTAGTTGTTTCGTTAGTTACCGTTTTAATTTTACTTTTTCTACTAACTAAAAAAATGAAAATTCAGTCTAAATATGGGTATGGAGATCCAGTTGTACTATGTAAATAAGGAGCATCTCTAAATTTGGTATGGAGATCCAGTTGTACTATCGAAAACTCTATAATGACTTGAAAAACTATTTTTATCCTATGTTATGAAATTCAAAATTCTAAAATAATATAATCGGCCAAATTTTGTTCTTCCTATCTATAAATCTTGAGCTGATGATAAATTAAAAGGTTTTCCAACCTCTAAAAACTCTCTCCTAAAGATTTTTGAAATGCACATTATTTCAGTAGTATAAAGTTAACAGCTTATATAAACTTTTTTTGAAAGACATAAATTTTTGTTCTGTAGGACCAAATTATAGATTTAGTCCCATGGTGAAAATATCATACCGGAAGAATGAGTTTGACCCAAAAGTTTTATCATCCTCACTCGTGTCAACCTAAAAACAATAATCTTAATTTGCATTACAAGAAAATTCTCCAATCAATTCTAGCTTCAAGAATGACTATCGAGTATTCATTTGATGGATGATCACATATAGGGTTTCAAGAGTTCAAAGTAGTTTTTTGTTTGTGATTCTTCTTAAAATTGATTACAAGTAGGGATGGCAATGGGCTGGGTCAGGATTGGCCCTTATCCCCATGGGCCAACTTAGGCCCGGCTCGGCATAGACCACTGGACTAAAGAGGCCTTTTGCTAAGTCTTGCGGCCCCGTCAGGGATGGCCGCCACGTTTGGACAAAAAAAGGAAACTAATAAGTGGTCCCTATCGTGTTCGCCCTTCAGTGGCTCAGCCCGACTCTCGGGCCACAATTTATGGCCCCGGCCCTAACCCCTCTTACTATGTATCTGGCCCTTGGAATCCAATGTACTATTTGATCACACAGACCTGACATATGAACGTGTAAGAGATGATATTGTCAGGGAAATGTATTTTATGTGTTTAGGATCTAGTTCCTTAACTATATCCATTTTAATGTAAAAATCTTAACCAAAAAACAAATAGATAGTAAATTTATTAAAAAGGTATTATTTTTATTTTTACAATTTAGGGGAATTCGCTAAAAAATCATATTTAGTTTCCTGAAATTAAATACTTCAATATATTTCATAATTCCCACTCAAGTTAAACTTTTTGAAAGCATGAAGTTTGTTCTAATTTTATCTATTTTTTTATACATCGGATCAAGCTCAAATTTAATATGTTTGTGTTTCTCATCATCATAACACCAATAAAATATTTAAAAATCATAAATAACCAAAATACCTTGTAATATTCAAAGATATTTAGGTAATTTTATTTATTTTAAATTAATTGTTAAATATATGTGTATATATATGAAGATAAAAAGCAAGATAATACTAAATTTGAGCTTGATCAGATGTACAAAGAAAGAGATAAAATTAAAATACACTTCATGCACTCAAAGGTGGAACTTCAATATGGGATATTTAATATATGAAATTATTTTTAAATTTCAAAAATAAAATAGGATTTCCCTTGGCCACCATAGTTGAGATTCTCGACCCCAACTTTCGACCCAAAATCCAAATCCGAAAATAAATTTTTGATACAAAATACAAAATTATAGATATTTTGGAAAAAGGACTGGCTAACCCTATTTTCAGGAAGGAAATTTCATTTTCTCTCTATCTCATCTCATCTCTCGTGTAGTCCTTCCCATGAAATATCCAATCTCACTTCAATAAGTTACTGCCCATCCACCCCCTGTGCTTGTAATCAACGTGGTTCTGCAGTTCTAGGTGTGATTTTAATTGGGAAGGGACCCAACTTCTTGGAATAATTTCCATTTGTGGTTAATATCTAGCATGTAAATGGAGGTTTTGGACTCTCACAGTGTAGCAACTTGCAGTGTAGTGGCTGGACCACTTGGACATGTAATGCATTAAATGTACATTGTCCCACCCCATTCCACAATTAGGTGTGGCAACGGGTCAAGTCGGGCCGGGCCGGGCCGAACCTGAACCCAAAAATAACAAAAAGTATATATTTAAATACTAGGTCAAATATTATAACTAAAATATATAGTTATGTTTATTTAAATATTATTAAAATATTATATATTTAGATATTATTTGAATCATAGTACTATTCAGATTTGGTACGGGTCGGGTCCACATAGACTTGGACTCGGACCCGTATATTGTTTGGGTCCAATATTTGGACCCGGACCTGATCCGCCAGATCCAATTTTTGGACCCATACCGTCGGGTCCAGGTCTATTGCCACCCCTGTCGACAATCTTTAATGGATAAGAAGGGCTCCTTGTCATCTCTCTCTCTCTCAAAAGTCTCAACACACCCTCCACCCTCTCCCACTCCTATAAATAGGGGTGACTCTTGGTGATCTTCACATCCTACTCTTTTATCAAGTGCTGCTTGCTCATTGAAAATGGCTTCTAAGACTCTTTTCATCCTAGGCATACTCTTGATATCCGCCCTCCTCATCTCTTCTGAAGTTTGTGCTAAGGAGGTCAATGAAAATAAGCCAGACAAGAAAGAAGTTGATGCTGGTCTTAGTTGTGTATATGTATTGTTTTTCAATAACTATTGCATATTTAGTTAGATATGGAAATTCATTAGATGATGAATGTGAAGGTTTCACATCCTCCACTCAAAGTCCACAAAATGTGAAAGTCTTTGTTTGGAAGAACTACGCCTTCCAGCTGTCCGCCGTGTTATCAGAAGGCTGGGCGATGTGAAGTTTCCTACAAAAGATTCACAATGCTTATTTGTATAGGTAAATACATGGACTCACTATGAATGCTCTATAAGAACTCCAGAAATAATTGTTAAATTTCTTTTAAAATTTTGCCATTTTTTTTCAGACCACATGAAGATTTGTGCATGCCGTAGCGGCCTTAATATTATTCTTTGTATCGTTCCAAGTTCATCAGATGTCTCGGATTGCATCACTAAATCAAATATTAGCAAATAAATGAGGGATAAATATAAATTATGTTATTAAAAACACGCTCTAATTGTTCACGATGAAGATTTTTCTGGAACTCCAAAAATCTTATTCTCGTTTTTTTCTCACTAAAAAATGACCAGTCGCGCTTGTTTCGCTGTGGCAGAGGAAGTTGTAGATAAGGAAGCTGCACAAACAGAGCACTACGGCAGTGGATACAGCCCTGGCTATGGTGGGCACGGTGGTGGATATGGCGGGCGTGGTGGTGGATACGGCGGCGAGCATGGTGGTGGATACGGCGGCGGGCATGGTGGTGGATGTCGCCACAGATGCTGTGGCCATAGGGGGTGCTATTGTTGCTCCCAAACTGAATTTGACGCCCTCGCCAAAGCAGAGGTGAACACTGAGGCCAAGCCCCATAACTAGACTTTAGTCTAATGTGGCCTGTGTGTTTGGTTACAAGTCATGTACTTATTATCCAGTATCTGCAGTAAATAAAGGGAACTTTGAGCTTGCCCTTCCTTAAGGTTAGCTATGCACAACCTTGTGCAATGTGGATTTTATATGTAGCCCTTTTGTGAATGGTTTATAAGTACCTTCCTTGTGTCATTGATGATATGAGTATGATGTTCCCTTTGATTTCTATCTTTTTTCTTTTTTTTTTTTATGTTATGGCCTATTCATTTTCTGGTTGGAAAGTATTGCTTTAGTCTTTATAAGTAGATAAAAGTATTATTTAGTCTGGTTAAATACTTGTATTTGGTCTCATATTTTGGGCAAAGTTGATGGAGAATGTAGCAAGTAGAAACTAGCTAATGGCTTCAATTTAAGAAATGGTACCATTTCAAACTGGAAACCTTTTGTTCATTTGTATCTAATTTATGCTATAATAAAAAAATTGGATTTTCAATTATCTTAACAAATGTCATATTGATAGAGTGATATAAGTAGGGATCTTAAAAATTTCCTAAACTATAAAATGCTCCACTTATAGGTGGAAATTATAAATAAGGTCGATCAACCTACATTTTTTCTATATTTTCAAAATTTCCTCTGGGTCCAAGAACATCCTCGGACCGACTTTTAATATATTTTTTTAGTGTTTCTATTAGTTGGGCACTATCCTAAAGCTTGGAGCAATACCCTACTAACAAAAAAAATAAAAAAAATAAAAAAAAAACAAGAAAACAAACAACAAATTTGGACCTAGGATTCAATCCTCAGACCGAAAGGCAATTTTGAAAAAAATAAATAGAGCCATGATGACCGACCTTCTTAGTTCTTTCTACTTTAAATTGTAAATATTCTTTGTTTTAAAATCATTAATGAAAATTAAAATTAGATATTTGAATTTTAGGAAAGACATGAGTTTGGAGTCTCACTTTGTCTTTAGTTTTGAGAAAGAGAACCTAGGAAATTGTTCGAGATAAACATTTATGTATGGGTGTGGTTTCCATAAGGTTGCAACCTTAAACAATCCAATTAAGGTGCACCTCCAAATTTTATTATGGCATATAATTTTGATATAATTTTTTTTTTAAATTATCTCAAAATCTATTTTCATAACTAATTGTAAAATTTTAAACTCCAAAAATGGTTAAAATCAAGTAGATCAATAAACATGAGGAAATCTTGAAAATGGACAGTCTAGATAAATTGTTGTAAGATGCACTATTTTTAGGATTCAAAATTCTTTTTATTTTTTATAGTCATATATCTCCATGTCGAGATGATCAATTAGAGTGTTTTTAAACATTAAAACAACATTTTCTGATAGATTTTTGAGGTGCATCAGTAGTTCTACATTTTAAGGTCGCAACCTTATATAAACTTTTTCCTTTATGTATTTAATATGCTTAGATATAGAGATTGAGAAGAGAATACGCAGGGAGAGATGATCAATGACTCCGTAAGAGCTAGTTTGAATGTCAGATTTAAAGGACCTGCACATTGAAAAAGTTGTAAGTTTGATTGAAAAATCATGTTATTTTATTTTATTATGTACTAGATTTTTTGGATGTCAAAGTTATTTTATTTTATTATGAACTAGATTTTTTGGATGTCTTTTAAGTTATTTTATTTTATTATGTACTAGATGTTTTGGATGTCTTTTAAAGTATTAGAAATTGGAGTTGTTCCTCAAGTGAAATAACCTTTTTTTTTTAGTTTAATATAATTTTAATAAACTTATGAACCCTATGTTATTTATTTGGGAAAGGCTTCTATGCTTCCTTTATAGCATAGAAGTTCTATCCTTCCCCGACCATCCAGCCATCCAATTTTGATCAAGAGCGCCACTCACCGTTTGATCTTAAATCCAACGTCTCAAAGCATTTTTTTTAAATTTTTTTTAATACAAATTTGATGAACATGAAATTTGGTACATGCCATTTTCTCATTGGGGCGCAGCTTTAAAAAAAATTAAAATAACTTTTTCATAAAATATAATGACTAAAATATCCCTTGAATCTTTCAGGGGAATTTTGATCATTTTATTTTATTGGAAATATTATTTTTATATTTTTCGCTAGTGCGAGTTTAATAGAAGAATGGATGTCCAAAATTTGGTGTCAAAATAGTTTATAGAAAAAAATTAAAACTAAAATAGTGTAGAGACGTGACATAGTGATTGGGGCAATCTTAACCATCCAGTCAGCATGGACAGTTGGATATGGGGGAGGACAGAAATTCTATGTTGTAGGAGAAGTATAGAAAACTTGCCCTAATTATTTTTCATGTATAATTATAGTGGTGGAGTTCTACTACCTCGAGAAATTTCACATTCCGCGTAATAGCGCCATTCCCCAAGAAATTTACTGCAACAAAAATTTCCTCCTATCAGAGGAAATTACTTTAGTAAAAGATCCAGTCATAATGAACTTATTGATGTCTTGGATCCTATTGGAATATATATATATATATAGATTTCTATTTTTACTATGTGTGTGTGAGAGAAAGAGATTATATAGAATTTTTTTAAAAAATGGAATTTAAAAAAAAAAAATGACCGCACTTCTATGTAACCCTTCTCTATAACATTAAAATAAAGAAAACACATTGTAATGTTCCACAATAGGCTCTGGTTTTGTGGCTTGAACATTCAGGAATAATGAAAGCAGCCTCAAACTATTTCTATATTTTGGTTTGGGAGGTCTACCTCTATCTGCTTCATTGTTTTCGTAGGGCATATATTTAAGGATGTCACATTGTCAATGAGCACCCTCCCTATCTCATATCCTTCCATGAAAACGGTGATATACAGTGGTTGGACATGAAAGCGGTTAAAGCTAGTTGGGATGTCGTCGTCCGTGAGCACAATTGGCATTGGTGTTGTCAACTAGTTGATCAACCCACTTAGCTCTTCTGGTTGGATGTGTGTCTTGGCGAGGACCTTCTCGATCTAGGTCCTATGTGTTGGTGAGTTGGCGAGCAACTCCAAGATGGAGATATGAGTTTGGATCTTGCCAAGATGAGCTAGCAAATCATAAGTGCTCGAGTTTACTCCTGACTCCTTTTGGGGTTCTTGATTTATGGTAATCGCTAGTTGCTTGGGCTCGTAGGTTATCCCTATTCTTTCTTTGAGGGTATCAGCCATCAAACGGATGGGCTTGAATACTCGGCCTCTTCGAGTCAAGTTGTCTACTTCACCTGGTTGAAGCTCGATAGGGTCGGCCTTTGCGAGAGTGATGGGGTACTTTGGAGTGTTGGCCCCTCGAATGGAGGATGATCCCTTCTCATTAATCTAGACCACATCGATTTCTAACATATCGTCTTCATCATATTGGTCTCACTTAGGTGTATTGTCGAGGCTTTGAGGCGAAGGGTCACTTTTAGAAGATCCAATTGGTCCTCTTGGGGTTCTTGAAGGTGGTGACCACAAGGGAGTATGAATTGAGTCGGGACTTTTGTTTTGTCTCCATTCTCGATCATGTGAATGACAACATTCCCTTTTGGGTTGTCTTGAGTTTTTTTCTTTCCGGCTATTGTGGCCGTATTTTTCAAAAGAGGGTTTGTGAACATACCCATGTTTTGATTAGGCTCTTCAACAGGCTAATTTTTCAGTAGGACATGATGTCCCCCGCTATCGATCAACACTTGAATAACCCGTTTCAAATGATAGCAATTTTAGTTGTCATGTGCATGATTTCATTGCCATTTGCACCACTTTCTCTTGTCCGTGACTTGGAATGGTGACTCGGATGGTGCTGGTAGGTAAACCATGTCTTTAGATAGGAGCAATTCCAGTACTTTTTCTAATGGGTCTTTGAGAGGAGTGAAATTACCCACTCTCATTTGGTTGTTATTTTGAGTGTTGACTCTAGGCCGACCCTTTTGGTTTTGATTCTGATTCCTTCGTTGAATGAAAAAACCTCGAGCCGGCCCGTTAATGGCAATTTCATTAACCTGGCCGGAAGGATTCCCCTTGTTGTTGTTATTGTTGTTTTTATTTATCTTGTTTTGAGGAGTGGTTATAGGTTTGTTCCCAAGTCTAGTGTTGAGAGGTGTTCCTCTGACCCTTTCGTGATGTGCCACCCGCTCAGTCAAGGAGTCGAAAGAGTAAGGGATAAGACCTTGGCTGAAGAATGTCCTATATTCAGAAGTGGCCTTTTCTAAGGCCATGGAGATCTTGGTCAGGTTTGTGAGTGGACATTCAATGGCCCGTATCACCACCTTGTGGAATCAATTGATGAAGTTTTCCAAGGATTCTCCTGGATTTTGTTTTGTTGCACTGAGTTCACCTAATGAGAGAGGCCTTGGTGTCAATCCACGAAAATGAGAAACAAATAAATTGAACATTTCATCTGGAGTGATGTACGGTTGATTACACATCATTCTTCGATGCCAGTTCAGAGCTTGGCCCGAAAACGTTTTCAAAAATATGGCCTTCAATTGATTTGGCCTATCTCACAAAGCTCGATCGAAGAGAAGGTAGGCGTTAACGTGGGTTTCTGAATCTCTCTTCCCGTCGAGCTTGTTTCGAATTTCTAGGATGACAAATCCGAAGGGAAGGTCCTCCATGCCTCCTAAGGTCACATGAACCCGGGCCTTTTGGGGTAAAACATCGTGAATGCCCAGTCTCATAAGCATGTCTTACATTGCTTTCATGATTCCTTTGTATTAGGCATTCAGTATGATGGTAGGTCCACTGACTGGTGGGTTCCCAAGTGTAGACTAATGAGTCAAGTCTTGGGATATGTATTGGACATATGGACCTGAGGTTAATGAGCCACAGTCATCAGGGTGGTTTGGTATACGTGGGCTTGAGGGATGTATTGTGCCATAGGTGTCGCAAACGGCTAAGGGAATTGTACGGTATGTTGGACCAGATGGATTGCAAGGACCGATTGAAGAATTGGTTGACTTGGTTGTCCTATAGCAATAAGTTGGTTTGGGACCGACACATGTGCTGGGTCTTGAATAATCTAGCCTCGGTCAACTAAATTTTGGAGGGCAGCTTAGATACCTACATCACCTAGGGGTCGGTTCAGGTCGATAACTTTTTTTCGTACAATGTTCAAGTTATCATGAGTTGTACTATGGTGGCTTGAGGCTAGGTTAGATCCCCTAGAACTAAGTGGGTCCTGGTTATTAGGGTTTTGAGGTTGTCGTGGCTCAAAAATTTCTTGATTTGAGTTAGGGAAT